AATAAACATGTGCAAACAATATACTTGCTCTTGTGAATTTATTTTGATGTTAATTACATTGTGCAAGCTGTCTCTTTAATACCTCGTGGTTTATATACATGCTGCTGCTGATTGGGCTGACATGTTTGAGACACCCACCAAACGAGAAAACGCATCTCAAACCCCGTTGCACACCGTTTCCAGGAAACATGTCGTTCAAACCGGAAACCGTAGCAAAACGGTGCACACCGGTTTGAGCTTGAACTTGCCCCAGGTCAGAGCAAAACTGAAATATACTGAAGCATCATAAAAGAGTTGTTTTTGGAATTTTTATTTATTTAAATTCTTGGTATTAAGTGGCAATCATTTTAGCAGCTGGTGTCATGTGCTATGGGGTATGTCATGTTAACACAATCTCCACGGCACAAACATAATTTTACTATTTATTGCCGCCAGTGTTGGGCCAGTTACTCAAAGAATGTAATATATTACTCATTACTAGTTATTCCTTTCAAAAATAATATTGTTACTTTACTTATTACTTATTACTTTCTGGCAACAGTAATTAGTTACACTAGTTACATTACTTTTTCTTCACACCCCACAGAAGTTGTAATTGTGTATCTTCCACACATAAAATTCTTCTAGAATGTTAACAACATATTTCTGCCATTGATCCACATTGGATCGCAGTCAGACGTTATTACGAACACTCAATAGTGACTGAAAGTGACATTCAAGTAGAAGTGTTGTATTAATCTCATTAATTGTCATGTGTAGCTTGAAGCTAATTGTAATTTCTCCGTTACCCATATACGGTTATATTTCATGTTGTATTTGATCAAATCACATAAGTTTGTAAGAAACCGTATAATTTTCCAAAAATATTTTTAATTATAGTAATATAATGTACCACATACTGATCAGAGGGATGTGGGTGGGATGTAATGCCAGAGTAAAGTAAAGCCACAACTTACACAACAGTGTTTAGATCATCTTTATTTCCTGACAAAATCAATATAATGCAATATTTCTATCTGCTGAATGTAAGCTTTTCCATATTTCAAGCTTGCCTGCTGCACTGGGGACATCACATGCATGTGCAAGTCATGAAAATTATGTAAATAAATCTAGGAATTATTTGATTGTTGGATTTTAAATCAGCGGGGTTGAGGCATCAAATAAGCTGTTTTATGGATGGTAACTGTAATATTATTACTGAAATCTTATTAGTGATTAGTTACACTACTAGTTACTGCAAAAAGTAATATAATCACAGTAACTAAGTTACTAGTAACTATTTACTGCCCAACACAGATTACTGCTACTTTTATTAGTTCAAAACAATCATGTAAAGCAATAGTTCTCAACCAGGGGATATATTTAGCTTGAACCAGGGGGCCTCAGCAAACTTGTCAAGATGACCTAAAATGATTTAAAATAAGACAAAATAAGCATTCCAAATACAATGAGCTAAAACAGCAACAAAAATATGATTTTATTACTTTATTACTTAAAATTCACCCCATCACCTAGGATTCCCATCTTGTAAATAAATAAGGACACACATACTTATTTACATCTATTTACCTGTACACACATCTAATACCATCTATTGTCTATTTTGTATATTTTTTGTACTGTTTGTACTCTGGAAGCTTCTGTCACCAAAACAAATTCCTGGTATGTGTAAACCTACCTGACAATAAAGCTCTTTCTGATTCTGATTGTAGATGAGATGGTCTAATTACAAAAAGGGTTGTTTTTCTAGACTTGGAAGAAAAAAAACATACAAGTGAGGTGATTTTCTCCATATTTGGACACATAGGATAAGTTGATGTATCAAGTGATATACCTGCATGCCTGGACTTGAACATAGCACCTGAAAAATGTAGACATAAATCTAACCCTCAGGTCCTGTCTACTGTCCCCCCTTTTAAAATAATCAACATGCTTGATGTTTTTTTCCAAAGAAGCAAATCAGAAACAGTATTTAATCTGTCAAAGAACATTCATGAAACATGACAGGCTGTAAATCATGCAGCTGTCCAATATTTCCGTCCAATTAAGAGATCAAACACATGCAATCTCTGTTTACCATCACAAGCCCTGCAGGGGCCTCAGCTTCCATCTCAGGAACTTGATTCTTGTGAGGCTGTGATTGCGTAAATAGAAAGAGAAAGAAACAGTGAGAGAGAATGAGTAATAGCAGCATGAAGTCAAAGCTTCTGTGTTACAAAGTCTGCAGAAGCTACTCATGATTCACAGGGACACCAAGGTGTGGTAAACAGGCTGATAAACGTAAGAGCTAAAGAATGTGAGTGGAAGTACCTCGAGCTGAGTGGGAGTGAATAAGACAGTGGGAGGGAGCAAAAAGTGGAGGTGTGGTGTTTTTAATTCTGTCATTGTTGTAGCGAAGCGGTTCAAAACGTTTCCTTCACACTCTGCCTCCTCTAAGGTCGAAACTGGAGCTAAAGAAGCTGTACTATATAGTTCACATACATAATTGAAAACAAGAGGAAGTTTGGATGGGAAGTCGTCTCGAATCGAGTTGTGACAGCGACATGTGACATCTTTTTCAAAGGACACTAGAACTTCTGTCACTACATAAACTGAAAGAGTTATTAGCAGAGTACCGATCACCAGCCACTTTCTACTCTAGCAAAAACACCAAACTTATTTGGTTATTAAATACCTTTGGATCTCTGGTCAGCCTGAGGAATTTTGGACCCTTCTTCCCTCAAGATCAAGTCTGGGCGAGTCTGTAAGTACTGAGAGCTTTGGTTTCAATAACTGTTTCAACTGGCATGTTTTTCATTGCTGCTACCTTCAGAAAGATTATTATCTTTTTGGAGGCAGACTTTACACAGCTGAGATTTCGATTTATCACGACAGTCTAGCCAAAATTAGCAAATGAGATCTGTCAACACTCTTGTAATACTGATGCCAGTTACTATCATGCCATGACTCTGTCTCTGTCCATACCTGTTTTTCAAGCCCCAGCACAATAAGAGATCATAGAAACGCACTTCACCTTAAATGCTTTAGAAAAACCCTTTGAAATTGTTCTAATATACATTTATTCCCCCTCTTATTTTTTATTTGTATTTTTTTTAAATACTCCTATCAAAACTGAAAGCAGAAAATCACTGTCAAGAACCAGTTAAACCAGCTTGCTATAAATCACTGCTTGATGTTTAAAACTTGATTCAGACAGAACTTGAACTACACTGTAACCATTGTAGTATAAAGTACACTACAAAATCATCAAAATACAGTAATGTGCCATTACTTCCATGCTGACTCCCTTATATTTATACTTTGTTATTTGTTACTTTGAACAGAGATGTGCGCAAACGAACTAAGAGAAGTGAAAGTTGAGGATGCTTTACTTGAACAGCCTGAGCCGAGGGCTGACTCGCACAGCATCACCTGTCATGACATCTGTAAGGACACAGACCATCGTAAGCTAGCCATCTGCAGCATCATATGTGGCCTCTCCTGCTTTGGAATTATGTCCCTCAAGTACTCCGTCAAGGTAACTAATGCTTATCAGTGCTGTTTGATTGCATTACAGCACTACTATTGTAATAAGTATCACTAAGCTCTATTTAAACTTATTTTTAAACTTAAATGGTTTAGTAACCCACCCATGCAGTCTCATTAAAAGGTTCAAGAGTGTAGACAAATGCAAGATGTGAAATGAAAACAAACACTCCAACTGGCTTCCTCAAGTAGGCCTATTTTCATGACTGATGATCTTATTTAATTATTAACAGTTTGGATTTGTTCTCATATACTGTACAGCTATTCAAAGACACTCAGCTGAGATCTGTTGCCAGTAACATAAGATACTGTTGGTAAAGATGAGACACAATGAAACAAAAGAGTACCATGAAACTTAACTGCAGTCAGTGATGAAAGAAACGTATGCATGCACTAATATAATCTAAGAATCGAAAAAAAAAATGGAAATCTAACACCTTTCCTCATTTGTTTTCAGGCTCGAGAGACAAGAAAAAGACTTCAAAATGAAGACTGTCCAGAAACACGAGAGATGGTTAAGAAATACTCAGAAAAGGCGTGTAAATGGGGAATTGGGTCCATTGTAGCCTGGGTGGTTTTAATTCTCATTTTTCCATTGCTTCTGGGATTTCTGTCCTTTGTTGTAACCTTCATAGATTGACACTGAAGAAGCGTTTCTACCGTTAAATGAGCAACCAAAGCAAATGAACTGTAGAAGTGCAGAAACAGACTCTTTCAGTGCTCACACCGGACACTGCATCTAGACCATCCACAAATGTAACTTGATGACAATAGGTTGGATATTAATGGTCATTATTTAAATTCTGTTTTGAAAGGTGCTTGTCCTTAGTTTGGATCAAAGGTCCACAACTTACTACCTATAACATAAGAGGATTCAACAGTTTGCACAAAGGACTAAATATTATGTGTATGCCTTCTGGTAGCAGCAAAACATACTGGATTAGTGACATACTTTAAAAATACAGTAACTTTCAGGAATTTGTTACATGCATGAGATGGAGCCATGCATAAAACCATCAGCACTGTCCAGACAAAAGCAATTTTTACACTTCAGCAAGCTGATTTTATTTCTGCTCTTAAATTGGAAATGAAACATTGAGACACTCACAGAGAGCACGGCAGTCAAATGTTGAGATATGGATGTGGTTACATTATTAACATTCTGTTCTTGTAAATAAGTTGTACTGTTTCAATACCTTGTGCTTTTGATGTTTTGTACACTGCATGCATTTCAGATTTTGTAATAAAATGTGTAACAGTCAAAACGCACCTGCTCATTGTGAACTTCTTACAAACAACTCGACAAAACACCAAAATACAAAACACAGTTCAATTGTATTCTATTAGAAATACAGAACGCAGACTTCTATACAAGTTTACACACAAACCATTCAACGTGTTCAAACACCACAAGCAGCATTATAAATCACTACATCAAAGAAGAACAAAAGCCTAAATTATGTGAATGGACTATAGTTAGAGTACCTGAGTAAAAGCACAGAATGCACTGAAACCTTTAAATCCTTTATGCTTCTAGATGAAAAGCATCAAGCATAATCTAAAAATTAACAATGCAAACTTTTGTCTCACTGGTAACTCGCTGTATTCAGTGCTGTCACTACAAAGTCCTTTGTGGCGTCTCCTTTATAATGAAACCCACAGGCCATCGTGAGAGTGTATTAATAAGGCATTCATCTGAACCAAAGAAGCTTAAATGTTTTAAAAGAGGAATATACTGAGCGAGGAAAGGTTTATGATTCTTCATTTGAAACACTTTCTGATACGGAGATGTGGTGAGTAGGAATGAGAGATATCTTAAGCCGCAGATTCATGTAAACAAGTGCTTTCTTTGAATGGTTATAAATGGACGAAACAGAATGGAGCTGTTTCTTGTTAAATCAGTCAAATCTACAAAATAAACACCATTACCTTGCAAAATATATAAAGAATGTGATGTATTCTTTACAGTACATCAGTAATAAAGCATTTTACAGCTCTGCGAGTCTATTTATTGTCGCTGTGTTGAATTTACAGTAAATTTTAACATAATACATACAAATCCCATTGTTTGGTACAAAACAACCAAGACCTCTGCCTCAGCCCGCAACCTGCTGAATTGCCATCCAGGTGTCCAACTCCTCAAGTTTGGAGTAAAGGAGGGACTCCAGCTGCGGCAAGGTGAGGCCATCCTCCACACTGGAAGAGACCCCTACACCTCGTCTGGTTCTACAGATCCCAGCGCTCCTCTGGGCTCCACCCGCCGCCATTACACCGACCAGAGGTTTCTTGGGCTTCCTGGCAACACCCAGTTCAGGGAATTCGACAAAGCGCTTCACCTTTTTTTGGCCCACGACGGCCTGAGAGCCATCACGCCGGTTAAGAGGCACCTCAAATATGGTTTCCAAACGTCTGAAAGAGTTTGTAAAACTTGCTTCACTGATCAGAGTATAAAAGAGAAAGAATAAAACAGCCCACTAAAATCTCAAAACCTAACCGCATGCTCTCAACGTAAATTCAAGTCTTAAAAGGGATAGTTCGGCTAAATATGAAAGTTTCATCATCATTTACTCACCTTCATGTTGTCCCAAACCCAAAAGTCTTGAAAAACAGAATATGATATTTTAAATGAAACCTGAGAGATTTCCATCGCTCAACTGAAAGTCCAGGTAACAAAAACAAAAACAGAAGATCCAAAAAGGTCATAAAGGTGTCATAAAATGAATCCATATGAATTGTGTGATTTAATCAAAGACTTGTTGAAGAGATATGAAAGACAGAAACCTTCATTTTAAAAATATCTTAGTTTGTTTTTTCCAAGATTAACCAAAGCCCCATGGGTTTAGAACAACATGAGTGTGAGTAAATCATAATAGAATTTTAATATTTGAGTGAACTATCACTTTAATATACTGCATATTAATGTCAATTGCATTTAAGACTGTAGCTGGTAGACATTAAGTCACTGGTGATGTGTGTATCAAACTGTGATATGTGGTATGAAATAAAACTATGGAATAATTAGTATAGTTAAATAGAAGAAAACTAAATGCACTAGCCCACATTTTTACTTTGGCAGCATAAGAACAGACTGATAGCTTTAGAGCTGCACTAAAAAGCCACTGGGCTATTGGGATGTTCTGTCTGCCCCCAATGTCTGTGAGTACTAGAAATCCTGAAGGTCAGTTAAATAAAGATATGATCATAAAATCAATAAATGCAACCAGTCTGAAAGGAGTGCCAAGCACTTCTGTCAGTTTGATTACCAAATATATAGAGAACCAATTATTAAGTTGATAAATGGGTGAGTAACTCCGTTATCCAGAAAACAAATCATTAGGAAAATGTCTCACCCATCAGGAGGTTTGCTGAAGTTTTTGTTTGTGTAGATTTCCTCCAAGCTGAAATCCTTCTTCTTTACTCTATAAAACACAAAACAAGAATGAAGTACAGTTCCTCTGATGAAGTACAGACACACACATTGTTATGACCAAGCCTATATAAAACCTTCTCTTCACATACACACCTGATGACCTTAGGAAGGCCCATAGGGGTGAGATTATTCTGAGGCTTTGGAATCTTTTTACGGATACGAATAGAGGACACCTTTCCATGCTGACCATCCTTGATCTCCGTCTGTTTACACGGAGAGCGAAGATGCAATTAGGATCAAGAAAAATGACACATTTTAGACCACAAACCAAAGTTAAGAGAAAACTCACACCTTGATTTCAGAGTCTGATAATGCTTTCTCCTCCGAGATGGCTGCAGAGAGTTTAAGGTCAAAGTTGGATCTCTCTTCATCTATCGACTCCTCACACTCCATCTGAAGCACCCGACTGTCTCCTTCCAAAGAGCTTTGTGAAAACGCACTTGAGGAAAGAAAAAGTAGGATTTTAACAACTGACTTGCATCTTTATTAACGTCTTCTTATGGGAAAACATCTGAGATCATCAGCATGATAGATTATACAATAACAGGTCATAAAAAGCAAGCATACTCCGATAAGGAGGCTGGGAATTTGTTAAATTACCTGCAGAGTGATGAGACAGAGGTGGAAGGTGTCTCAGGGCTGGGAGTGACAGAGGAAGGACCGGTTGAAGCATGACAGGACGTGAGGGTGGAAGAAAAGGGGGGACTGAAGGGGAACGGTGATGATGAGGTGACAAAACTGGAGGCAGCTGAAACACTGCCAGTGCTGGTGTCGCTAGCATGACTACGCCCTTGGCTTGAGCTTTTAGACAAGAACGCTAAAGGACTGGACAAAAAACACGAGGCAAGGGCTGTGAGGTAGGTGGAGGGAGAATAAGGGGAAGAGGGGCACAAAGGGCCACCCCGACTAGCAGGGTACACCTCCTTACGGAGACACAAAGGAGCAATTTCGCGCTCAATCTCCACACTGCAGACGGTGTGCCGGCGAGTGCGCTTGGACGGAGAGTGAAGGTGGATGGGCAGTGGTGTGGGTGAGCTCTTTCTGCTGGGTGAGGTAGTGCTGTTGTCATGCGTGTGGGACCGGGGGAAATGGCAGTCACTGAATACTAGGGACGGGATTTCGGGGCAGGAGTAGCTGCGCAGGAGGCGGCTATGACCGCTACCTGACAACGATACTACTGGAATGACTTCCGTCGCCTTTTCTTGGCTCTCCGCTTCACTGTTACCTCCAATAGCACCTCTCCTTTTTGCAACCAAACCATCTTTTCTTCTTGATCGGATTAAATTCTTTGTGGGTCTGCTTAGTTTTCTTTCTGAATGCACTGGAACTGTCGAACCAGGCGACAGAAGTTCCTTTATTTCTTCTCTTGCTTTCAGTCCAGAAACACATGTCTCCTGCTCCTCAGCCGAAATAACAGATTGTTCGCTGCGCAGTAGTGTTCTTTTTGAAGGCTTACGTGGTCCTGCTGGATCAACCACTGAAGTCACGCTGAATTCCTCAAACTTGTGCTTGAGTGGACGAATGTTTCTCTTCTGCAAAGCATCGCTTGTAATTTTAAGATGCCGTCTTGTTTTTCGAGTTTCAATGGTCTTCTCAGACTCCTGTGACTGCATAGGATACTGAAACTCTTCTGATGAACCATTCATGGTATTGTCAATCAGGACATTCTGTGTACCATTTTGAGAGGATGTAGTATCAGTGGCATCATCTTCATTTCTAGAGGTCAGCAAAGTCCTACGTTTTACATTTTTTCTCAACTGACTTCTAATTGTCTTGTTCTGTCCCATTTTATCTGAGGCCTCAACAGAATGTTTCATCTCAACATCTGCAGCATTACTAATACCGACAGGCACATTTGAGTCTTGGCGTGGTTGCATTATAGAAACCCCTTTCCTGTTTTTCCTAACCTGAACAAATGTTTCTTCCCCCTGGTTTATTTCCAATGCGATGTTATTGTTTTTTATTTTTCTATTCCTCGGAGGTCTTCCCTCTTTAGCATTCTGCAAATCACATTTCCCCCTTGCCTGCAAGTCTTTCTTTGTCTGAGGAGCTTCTCTGCATCTCTTTGGCCTCACTTCTCGGACAGCCGAGTGGT